ACTTCCTCATCACTCTAGTTTGTGTTACCTTGGTATCATCCTCCTAATCAAGTACTTTACAAGTTGGATGCAAAGATGTTGATACTTCTCTATCTCCAGAGAACTTATATGCGCAAACCTTTGTATAATAAAACCTTCTGTAACACTGCTATCACATGTAGTGTCCATACTCTGCAAAGTCAGTTTCCTTCTGAAAATTTTTTTTTCCATCATGTACTATACTTGGATTTGATCATAGGGCTTTGTGTTCAATTATAGGCTTCTTATAGGTTACAGAAGCTAAAATCTTTCGATTTTGTCTCTAGCCAGACTTAAACTGTTGACCTTGCCTATGGGGGTATGAGAGTTTAACCATTAAGCTATGGAACTCATACTCCTCTAAAAAAAGATTATTTATATTAAGATATTATTTAATTTTAATATAATAAAAATTAGTTATACAACTATTAATTTTTCGAACTAATAAAATTTATAAAATTATAAAATAATCTACAAAAAAGTTAATTAATTATAATAAAAGTTTGCTAAGTTTTTTTTTAAAGTATCTTTTTGGATTTTTTAATTTTTATTAACCTTGTTAGTAATATGTTTTATATAAAACTACTACAAGAAGAGTATACAATTAGCTACATATCTAATTTTTCTATAATATTTATTTAAGAAGTTTACTTAAAGGTCTCTCATCAATTGTTGTACTTAATTTTTTTTACTTGAGTGTTTTATTTTAAATTTTTCAAATTTGCAACTTATATCAACTTTACTAAGTTATGTTCTGATTTTTGTCTTAATATTAGAAATATTTTATTCTTAAAATAAATCTTTTAAAATTTTCTATATAATTATTTTATAATTAATTTAGCATTATTATGTCTGAATAATACTTATAATCAGAGCTAGTTATTAAACTGCTATATCTTTACAGAGTTCTCTAAATCTCAGTACTAATTTACAACATATCTGAATTACTTTAGTATATTCTGCTTTTGTTTTCAGATTTCTAATTTAGATAGTCTAATAAAACTATAATCAGTTTATTAGTATATTAGATTAGTCTGATATTTTTTTCTCTGGTTTGATTCTAGTGATTTGATTAGTAGTACCTTTTATTCAAGATTCTTATCTGTTTACTTCTTTTATATTGGTATTTATTTTCTAAGATTAGACTTTATAGTAGTATTGTCAAAAATTTATACTATCTTTCTGTTTAGGTTTTTCTAAATAGACTTCTTGCTTTTTAATTTCTATAAATTTATATAGTCACAAGAACTTATTTTAGATTTGTATTATCTAATACTAGTTTGAATTTTTCTGTATAATCAATTACACAAATATTCTATAATTTGCTAGTTATATTAGTATGACTATAATTAGAGATATCTTAATTTAATTATTAAAAACAGTTATTATAATATAGATAAAAATCTAAATTTTATTATCAATAAGTTTTGAACTTACAATTTGTCATTTGAAAGATTAATAACTTATTTATTTTATTTAGTTACTATATTTCTAGTTTGTTATTATTTATTTATATTAGTTATATAAAATTTTAATTAGAAAGTATATTGATTTAGTAAAGTGGATAAATTATTAACTTTTCAAATAACAAGTTATAAGTTTAAGATCTATTAATAGTAAAATTTGAATTTTTATCTGTATTATAACAACTGTTTTTAATTATTACATTAAATACTTGTAATTATTATTATATTAGTATAACTGATAAGTTTTAAAGTATTTGTGTAATTAATTATATAAAAAAATACAAACTGATATTAGATGATATAAACTTAAGATAAGTTCTTATAACTATATAAATCTATAGAAATAAAATTATAAGAAACCTATTTGAAAAAATAAAAACAGAAAAATAGTATAGATCTTTAATAATACTATTATAAAAACTAGACTTAAAAAATAAATACTAATGTAAAAAGTTGAACAGACAAGAATTTCAAATAAGAAGTATCACCAACTAGGCTGTTAGAATTGAACTGAAAGAAAAGATACTAATATATTAAGAGATAGCTATAATTCTACTAAGCTATTCAGATTAAAACTCTAAGAACAAAAACAAGAATGTACTAAAATATTTCAAATATATTGTAAAGTAGTACTAAGATTCAAGTAAACTCAGTAAGAGCATAGCGGTTTAATGACTAGCCTTGATTACAAATGTTGGTTTAACTATAACAATTTTAGATCAATAATAAAATGAGTATATAGAAGGTTTTAGAAGGTTTATCTCAAAGATAAAATAATTCTAAGGTTAAGATGAAGACCTAAACATAACCTAGTAAAGTTAACATAAGTTGCAAGTTTAGAAGATTTAAAATAAAACACCCAAGCAAAGGTGTTAGATACAGCAATTGGTGTAAAACCTTTGGGTGAACTTCTTAAATAATATAGACAAGTTATATGTGTAACTAATTGTATACTCTTCCTGTAATAGTTCCATATAAAACTACATTACCAAAAAATATTAATAAAAATCAAAAGACTCAAGAGGTCACCTTAAAAAAACAATAAAATAAAATTTTAATTGTTAATGTTTTTGTTGTTTTTAAAATTTAACAAATTGAATTAAAATTTTGATAATTGTGATGGTTAATGATTAAAGTTAAAACTATCGCCTCTTATTAGCTAATTTTATCTTTGGCCATGATTTACGCAAGACCGCTGTCACTATTGCAAAAATACATAATCGTTTTTTCATATATTTGTAAGTACACAGCTAACCAAGTTTAGAGTATATATATTATATATGCTTTACTCACCTATATATCAATATAAGATTTATTTTAAATATTTTTAAAGAATTTAGAACATGTCGCCATCTCTAGAAATAATGCATTTTTTTATACGTGTTTGTACATATCCTTGGAATTTAAAATTAAACATTAGTACTTAATAACTCAAATAGTGATACTAATGACTTATCGATAAATATATATATTGCAATGAAGCAATATACAAATTGCATTTTAATTATTTTCGCTATACATACATATCTTTTATATATGTATATTCTTTTTTATTAACGCTACATCCATTAATTTATGATATAATAAAAATAACCATTTTCGAAAAAAGTATTAAAACTATTGCCAATAAAAAAAATATTCAAAGTTATCATCTCCTTCTATATATAAGCATCTAAGTTAATTTTCTTAATAAATAAATACATTAATGTAAAAAATATAACAACGGCGAAATTTTTTGCAAAATTACTTTTTTTTTAAAACTAATTTAGACACCCATGTATATCATTGTATTATCCTTCTTGAAGTTTTTTCTTTAATAGGCCAATCATGTTTAACTATTTTCTTTGTTGAGAAAAAGTTTCCAAATTTTCAATAAACTTTATCGCTTATAAAGTTTTTTTTTATTAATATGTAAAAAATAGAATCAACTCTTTCTATGACGAACTGACAGTTCTGAGAGAAAAAGTTAGGGTTCGTACATAAGATTCATTATAAGTCGACTGTATAAATAACTTGTATAATAATAAAATAAATAATACCTTCACTGGTATTTCTTTCAATTCAATAGTTTTTATCATTTGTAACCTCAACATCACTGGTACTTGAATCATATTCTTCATACTTAATTCTATTTCAGCTTCCTTATCATCGTAATATTTCACTTCGGGATTAGATAATGCGACGGGTATATAGTTTGTTGGGGTTCATGAGGAAATGGATGTTTATTATTGCGTTGAATCTTATTGAAAAAAGAGTTGTTCCTCGTGGTGTGAAACTAAATGTTTGCGAAAAGCAAACCGACTTTTAAGAAATGTACAAACTTTTTTGAAATCAGATAAAGTAAAACCTTTTTCGCATATTCTTCTTTAATACATGTTCAGCATTCAGAAAGAGTTTTTTTTTTTTACAAAAAGGCTTCTGCTTTCTGCTCGATTTGCAATATAAAGAAGTAAAAAACAAATTGTATAGTTTTATTGCTTACTGTAATTTAAAAGTATATTGCCAATCAAAATATAAAATCAATTGTAAATGTTGAACCACTGGATCTATAAATTTGATTAAGTTTAAACCATAACGGATTTTTTGGGCGACGCTTGTTCGTGATGTTGATATACTTTAGGAGTAAACTATAGGAATACCTAATATTTAGACAATAAAGTATTTCACTCCGATTTTGATAACAATACAGGGTCATCCGTGACAATTCTGAACAGTAAAGTTTTTGGCCCCACTTCGGATTATTACCGTATTTCTAATTTACATATCTCTAATGTAATAAATTCGGACCTATAACTTGAATTCATTACATCTAAAGTTGACCGTGTTTTTTACATACAAGATCCTTTTGATACCTTCTTGATATCCTCTTGGTAGTAGATCCTCTATAAAACTGGGGTCTAATATAACTGGGTAGTTTATATAAGGAATATACGTTATTATCATTTATTAGAGTTTTTGATTAACTTTTTTAAAGTTTCAATGTTTGATGGATTAGACTTTTGTGATACAATAGTTTAATTTATTAGTCTAAGGTAATATCTAACACTAGGGTTGTTCAAAAAACTAATACATTTTTTAATTTTCTAAATATCATATGTTCTGTTATAAGCTTCGAGTTATACAAAATAAAATAATTTGTTTTCTAAAAAAAATTTTATTCTTACAAATCAGTAGATCAATGATAATATTTAAAGTTATATATATGACTAACCTAATGACTCAATAAATTTAGTAGTATAAAAAAATCATTTTGTTTGTAATAATTTCTTAATATAAAAGGGTACTTTTTTCTATTTTACTAATTATTGTTCTTCCTTTCTCCAGGTGAGTTTCAAAAATTTTACTACTTCTTTACTGCTACTATATAACCACAAATAAACCTTACTTTATTTATAGTCTTTTTTCCAAAAAAAATAATTTCTTTTTCGTAGTATTCTTAACATAATTTTTTTTTTCTTTTAAATATCGTGTCTTTTTTCGTTACCTTTGTCATTTAGAAAGATAACTTCGGAGGTAATGGAAACCGAATTGGCCAAGCCACGAAATGTCATGCACACATTATACAAACTACATGATTGGATGAAGAAGGGTTTAGTCGATGTTAACCCTGATTTCCAACGAGGTAAATTTTTGTAGCAAAGAAAATTTGTTATTTTTTACACGATACTTTAAACTGTTGATTTAAAATTTTTATATTAAAATTTGTTTTTTTTTATACATTTAAAATCACAGGCGTAATTTGGCGTGGTATGTATTTCTTTACAATCCTGTATTAATAATTTTGTATTATTCTAATTAATGATATGTATAATAATAAATATGTATTATTAATCAATTATTAATCAGATGTCAAGCAATCTCATTTGATCGATTCAATTTTTAAAAATTTATATGTCCCTCCTTTGATCTTTTCTTGCAAGAAATCAGAAGGCAATAATAAATGGATGCGAGTTTGCATCGATGGGAAACAAAGGTTAACTTCTATTTCAAGGTAAATAATATAATTTTTTTTGTTTCTCATAAAGTAGATAGATCACATTAACATTGGTTTTACCTATTAGATTCATGAATAATGAAATTTCTCATATTGTTCCTTCAAAAGGAACTACCATTAAACGATACTTTAATCATGAGGGTCTTGATGGAACGAATAGAACTGTGTTATCAGAAGAAGAAAGGGAACATTTCGAATGTTATGAATTTGTTTGCGGTATGTATAATATATGATTTTTGTAACTTTATTGTGTTACCAATATAACATGAAATTTAAAACTTTAGTTGAATATTACGATCTCACATCAGTACAAGAACACGAAATATTTAGTCGTGTTCAACTTGGTGTCCCTTTGACTACTGCAGGTAAGTTGATTATTCTTTTTACGATATTATTTAATTAATTCCGTTAATTCCATTATTATTTAATTAATTCCGTTAATTCCATTAAAAATTTTTATAGAAAAACTCTCGGTAATCAATACACCTATCACCAGTTTTGCCCAAAGTCTTTACCGTTCTTATCCTTCTATCTCAAAAATTATTGATACAAAACGTGGAAAACCTCTTCAAATAATCTCTCAAACCCTTCTCATGATTGAAGATCCTGAAAAATGTAAATCTACCATTAAGGGCATAGAAAATTACCTGAAAGATGATCGTGAAGTCCCCTTTGAGCTTTCTCAAACTGTCAAACAAGTGTTTGAAACGTTATCAACCTTAATCGACGCTGATGTTCAATTATTTCACGAGAATCATAAATTTTCACCAATCGAATTTGTCTTCTTTTGTTGGATAATTGCAAAGTTTCCAGAAATTGGAATAGATTCTTATCAGGATTACTTGAAAAGCATGAAGGAGTACGTTAGAAGATATCATGTAGATGTTAGGTTTAATCAAAAAGTTTACATGACTCTTAAAAGATTTGTTGATGAGCTTGATCAAGATGAAGAGCTTGTAGATGAATTATGGGATGATATTTGTGAAAATGATGAATTATTGAATAATACACGTACTTGTGGAAATGATAAAAGAACGGAAGATAAGAATGAATATTTGCCTTCAAAGAGAATTAAGATTGAAAATGAATAATTTATTCAATCAATAAGTTTGTGATTTTTGGCTTGCCGAATAGATTTGTATTATGATATATTTTTAGAAATAATGACGTTAGAATACTTAGCAATATCTTATTTTCTTATATTCAAAAAATTTCTTTTTCTTTGCTACTTTTAACTTAAATACTGTTATAAGTTATCAATTATATAAAAATAACTGCTATTTTTTTTTTAAAGTTCTATTTGAGTTAATTAATACTTTATATTCTTTTAATAATGTTTTTTTTTAATCTTTAATATTTCTGCCTTATTATTTACATGTTAATAACTGATCAGTATTGCACCGGTTTTATATATATGAAAATTTGAATTTTTAGTAAGATTCGAAAGTTTGTAAAAATTATTTAACATCTTTATTATACCTTGATAACGAATTATTATTAATTATATATATATAACATAAATACTATACGATTTTTATATAATAAGCAAAAAAATATAAATACAACAAAATCTTTAATACTATTATTCTTAATTCGCTAGTATATAACTGTAATTATTTTATCAATTTACTCATATGTCTATTTTCGAATTCATAATTATTTCGAAGTTGCATGAAATTAAATTATGTTCCAAAATACTTTTTTTATATAAATCATTTGTGATTTTTTTTTTGTCTTGAAATAAGATCAGGTATATCATTAAATGTTTGTGCAGTGATTGAAATAGATATGAGTGCTGTAGAGTGAAAACCTGGAAGTGAATCTTTAAGTTTATCACTGTAGCGGACTTAGTCTTATAATATATAATAAAGACAAAAACCGCTACAGTGATAAACTTAAAGATTCACTTCCAGGTTTTCACTCTACAGCACTCATATGATATATCGCTTCTTTGTCTTCGAATTCAGATCCATAAACGAGTAACCGAAAATCGTTCCCAAACATAATGCTAACTTTTCTTGCAGGCGTCGTCTTATAAAGAGTATTTGTGTTCCAAAGTATTTTATTAACAGGCATAGGACATCTCTCTTGGAATGTTGTCTATAATAAAAATTATAGTAAAAACATATGAATTTACTATAAACTTAGAGTTGAAGATTTTTATGTTGAATAAGTTTACTTAAGAAGTCAAAATAGGTTATCTTAGTAAAAACAAAACAAAAAATTTATACATAAATAGACGAAAATATTTAACTTTAGCATATAGCTAACTCATTTTGCGCTAAAGTAACCTACTATTGCCTTCTAAGTCGTTCAGCGTATAATTTACACATAACAATCATTTTAAAATTAGGAAATAGATATTTTTGAAGAAGTTACATCTTTAAAATATGCAAAATTAGCAAAATTTTAACCTAGTTTTTAAGTTAAGCAAAATTTAATTTAAGTTACTTAGTTAAAGTTTATAGTAAATTCATATGTTTTTACTATAATTTTTATTATAGACAACATTCTAAGAGAGATGTCCTATGCCTGTTAAACAATATGGTTTAAAGTATTTTCTTGAAATGCATCTTTTTGAGTAAAGATAATTCCAAAGATATTTGTAAGAAAATATTTTTTTTTAATAACTTTGCTGGAGTTTTAATTATCGTTTTTACCACACCCGAGCCAAAAATTATTTTTGTCAAGTTTAATAAATGTTCTAATGTGGTTTTTACCAAAAGCATTTCGGTTTTTGGTAATGTAAATTGTTTTTGAAGGATCTATAAAGTTGTATCATTTTAGAATGGTATTTATGTAAAAAAAACGCGTGAGTATGATATATTTTGGTTACATTAGATGTACAATTAAAGTTATGCGTATCGGTATAAGAGGAGGCACGCAAATTTTTTGGAGGCATACAATAATTGGTTAATAATTAGAATAATTCCATCACTAGATCACATGAAATAGTGTGCTTTGGACCAAAAGCATTAAGTACATTTTGTGTAGAAAAAATAATAAATAATTACTTAACTATTTTAAAAAATTTCTATTATAATATCTTAAATATGATATAATTAAATTTATATCGATATATGTATTTATTATTAAATCCTTTGCGGAATTTTAATTTACGATAGCAGGTCCGTATAAATAGTATTTGATTAAATTAAATTACTATCTAAACTTTTTTTCTTTTGTGAGAAAAAAAATGATAGCCTCATTAGCGTCAGAAGTTCAAAAAAAAATTGGCCAAGTTGAATCTAGTAGAATTCATGAACCACTGCCACCGAAATCTACATTAGTAGATCTGTATCTTTATCGAGATATTCCTTCAACCAAAATTCCTGTTAAAGATGTTGATTATAATGAAGATAATATTGGAATTATTAAGGAGGATAATATTAAAGAAATTGAACCTAAAAATGATCATGAAAGAAAAAGTGATACTGAAAATAAAAATGAAGGTGTTAAGGATAGCGATATTAAAATAGATGATAGATTAAAAGTTACAAGTCATGTAATTGACTCTGTGGTTACGGTTTCCAAAAATGGAACCGCTACAATCTCTGAGACCGCTCATGTTATAAAAACCAAGGAAGATTTTCCAGAAACTAATACACCAATGGAAAATAGATTGAGGCACATTGGAATTGGTGAAGATCTCGGTATGCGGGTTACTTTTTTTTTTTCTTTAAAACCCTGTTCGTATAATATCTTGAATTCATCTTATTAATTATAATAGGAATGGGAGATCGAGTTCGAGCTTATGTTGACCATTCTCACCTAAAAACTCGTGCAGGTCTAGTTCCTAAAGATATTAAAAGTCCAAATCTTTATCAAGATCTTAATCCTGACGAGTCTGTTTAAACAGAGGTTTATTATACTGCTTCTTAAAATTCAGATTTTCCTTTATCATTATAATTAGTTTTGTTTTTGATAATTTTTTTAAACTATTGTTAGCTTAGCTATCACAATTAAAACCGCAAAGCATCAAATAGTCTATGGCCAGTAGTGATGGATCATTCTCAAGTAAAACTGACCCAACTAATGTTTCAGGAAACTTTAAATAATATGACATATAGGCGTTAATCAATTGATTTTATTTTGAAGTTTTTATACTTAAATACGAGAAATATATTCGAATGTTAATACGCCAAAAATCTGATGTATTTAATCTTATATATTTTAAAACTTAATGCTTATGGATACAAATTAAAAATACAGCAGCATTATAATTGTCAGACAAACCCATTTACGTAAGTGACGAAAGACGAAACTTAAGTCACGAAAGGACAATGCAAAAAAAGATGAAATACAAAGTGGTGAAATCCTGGAGAAAGTTAGTAATCTTGGTGAAGGGCTAACTCCAAAAAAGACGGAAGTTTAAGTATATCAGCAAATTAACAGTGTTATGATTGACATATGCACCCACCCGATCAATCAGATCGTAAGATCAGGTGTAACGTGAAATCGAAGGAAAATAACGATTTTTCTAAGCCACTTTTCGCGTTCTAATAAAAAAAATTCCTTGCAAAATTTTGGTATAAGAATAGTTATTACTTAATCTTGACCTATCTTAACTCTAGCCCTTACCCTAAATTAATGCGTTAATTGGTTTGTTTTGATTTCACGTTACGCCTGATCTTATGGGTGCGTGTTAAAAATCTTGTGTTTTAAAATTTTGAAATTAGAAAATGAAGTAAATGGTTAGAAACCCCTATATCATGAAATTTGAAAAAAACGTGTCTGGATAAATTAAAAAATAATTTATATACTCGCACAACAATAATTATGCGTAATACAGTATATAGGAATGAATTATTATAGTACCTAGATTGATTCCGAATAAACATAGGTATAATAGAATTCAAGTGTATTTCATCGAGTACGTTGTTTTAGAATTTAAATCGCTTTAAGATAGAGTTTATTTATAACAGTGCCATTGCAAATTAATTAAAAATTTAAAAATATTACATGAAGTTTTTACATTCATGATTAGTGGGGTGGCAACTATTCCTGAAATGGTCTTTAATTTTTTTTACATTTACAATGATTGTCAAGGCTGATGCTGAAAATTGGGTAAAAAAAATTTGTGGTATTTTTTTCCCCGCTTTTTTTTTTATGGTTGAGTTAGCGTTTAAGTTTAGAATTGATAATTAAAGAGTATATGTGAATTTTATCAGTGCTTTACAGCAGAGACCATTAATGTTACATACTGTATATATTAAAACTGGTGAGGGATTATATCCATCACAATTGAATCCAACATAAATAATTTAATTTGTGATTTATCACAGGCGAGAGGGATTCACTTTGGATCGGGCACTGCTCTGCTGTAGCAATGCTCATATTTTCAAATCACGACCACAGATCTCACCGCGACAATGATTTTTAACACACGCATTTTTGCAATTGCTTTTAATATTACTTATTTGAGCGTTCAAGGAATACTCAATGAATACAAGTAGGTTTGAGTCAAATTTAATAATTTAGATCTTTCGCATCCCCGATTATGTATTTGCTGGATCTTGTAAGATCTTAATGCAAAAATCAAAGTTTTCATGTGTTGTAAAGGCTTTATGTCGCCTATTTGCCGACTTTTGCTAAAATGTTGGAAAGCAATTCTTCGAATGCATTACAAGGTAAAAATGAGATTCGGTCATCAGGTAGAGAAAGAAATCATGATATCTTGTCAATTTTCATGACGATACGATACGATGTAATTATTTAGCTATCGTTACGGTAATTTATTTATCTATCGTTACAAATCGATTACACATTTATTACGGTATCGAATTTAGAATCAACTTAAATTACTATTAATTCGTTGATTATACAGATCAAATCTAAATCGACTTAAGTAGCTTTTAAATTTCGTATCAACTTGGACTAAATTCGAAATTCCGTTCCGACCAAATCTACAATAATTTCATTTCGACGTATGACATATTTACTAAACATTTACTTAAGGGCTTTCGAAATTTTATACAATTTATCACAACAATTGTAATTTGCAACATACAATAATTTTAAAGTGAGTGCGTTTATTAATATATCATAAAATTTTACAAATTATTACAAAAAAAAACAAAAATAAAATAAAATAACGCAAAAAATATTCTAATTAATATATAATTTTTTTTATTTATTTTCGATATACTAAATTAATGTGATGCAAGTTAGTCATCAAACAATCGTTCGATGTCCAGGCCACACCACAAGGAGGTTTGCATCTGTGACCCAAAAGGAGTTGAAATTGGGAATATTAAAAAAAAGAATTCTAAATCTACAGAGAAAGTGATTAAGGAATAAACGACTTTTTAAAAAAAAGTTTATTCGATTATTTCTTCAATTTATTTGCCGATTTTTTTTTTTTTAAAAAAAAAAAATTCGAAATAATAAAATACGATATCAATAATGTACCATTATCGATAAAGTGATTCGCATTTTATGGGCCTCTGATAGCGAATCAATGGTAAACAGAGAGAAAT